ATTGAGACTGAGGGCAGAGAAGAATACAGGCTTTGGTGCCTGTTAGAATTGGTGTGGTATGAGTGTGTGTGTGTGTGTGTGTGTGTGTGTATGAGAAAGAGAGAGAGAGAGAGAGAGAGTCCCTATCTTCAGTCCAAGACACAGACCCAGTGCCCTTTTGGTTCTGTGTCACATTTGTGAAACAGCAGAGGGGAGCTTTGGTCTGTAGTTGTGGAAAAGGGTGAAATTTGTTTTATTTCATTGGATAGAAGTTTGGGCAGTTGCTTCCTAACATTTATTTATTTAGTGGGAATGTTTCTGGAGGTCCCACCATGGGGCTGGAATGGAATCATTGGGCAGGATGTTAGGTGGAATATAAGTTTCCTGTCCCCAAATATGGCTAGTTTTATGTAGTCATCAGGGTTACTTTAATAAGGATACAGACTCTGAACCCCTGTCTTCCTGCTCTCTCTGATTCAACAGGTCCAGGGTAGAATCTGGGTATCTGTATTTTTAAATAGTTTTCAGGATGATTCTGACCACCTGCTGGGTTTGGAGTTCAATGGACTTACTTATTAAGAATATCCTGTGAGGTAACAGGAATCCCCAAGGTCATATCCTTTACAAGAGAACATAAAGATGAACTGGCCTTGGAGGAGCATGTCTGTAATCCCAGCCCTGGGAGGCTGAGGCAGGAGGATCGTCATGAGTTCGAGGTCACCTGAGCTACATAACTGAGTTCAATGTCAGCTTGACCAACATAGTGTGACCTGTCAAAAAAAAAAAAAAAAAAAAGAAAGAAAATAAAACAACAACAAAGTATATAGAAATGAAATGGGTTTTCCATGTCATAGAGCTGGTCAGGAATAAAAAGGCTTAATGCTGTTGCTTTTCTGTAGCTGTGGCTTCATGTAAGAGTACCTGGAGCTGAGCTATGTGGAGGAGGACCTTTGCCTGCCCTGGTGGTTGCTTCAGGGCTACAAAAGAAAGGCAGGTGACAAAGCAAAGGCAGGAGTTACTCTGCTTCTGTCAGGTGAAAATAGAGTATGCTTGATTCCATGCAGCCCCCAAGCCTCTGCTAGGAACCATAGGGCTCTTCTCTGCTAACAGATAGCTAGAAAAGAGAAGACTAAATCTCTTCGATGTTCTATTACATTGCTCTGGATTTCAGTGCGTGGATGATTGTACAAAACCAGGAGATCTCAGGACAGGAAACAATATTTTCTCCAAAGTACCTTCCAGTGATTCAATTTCAGGTGTGTGGCAGACCACTGCATAAACTCAGTGGAATATAATAACCATGTAGACATTTGGAATGATAATTGATCCAACAATTTTCAGTAAACACTTGCTATGTGGTAAGTAAGGAAGACTTGGGATTGCCACATCAATCTCAGGTTAAAAGAGACACAGATGACACAATTAAAAATTTTTTTTTTCTGTTTTTTTTTTTTTTGAAGGAAGTGTCTATTGGGTGCTCAGGGTCTCACTACTAGATTGGACTCATAGTGATCTGCCTGTTTACAGCCTCCCAAGAGCTGGGATTATAGGTGTGCACCACCATGCCCAGTCTTAATCACTGTCTCAGCACCCCCGGAGGCAGCGCTGGCACAGCAGGCCCGGGGATTGAACCCCTGGCCCCTGTGCCTGCTTGCAGGTGCTTTAATCTGCTGATCTATTTGGCTGACCCAAGATGACACCATTTTTCTTTTCTCTCTTTTTTTTTTTTTTTTTTTTTTGGTGGAACCAGGGATTAAACTCAGGCCTTTGTGCCTGCCAGGGAAGCTCTTATTCCACTGAGCCATCTCCCCAGCCCGATGACACCATTTGGATGTGGACAACAGCACTGTGTCCAGCCCCAGGAAACCACATGAGAGAGATGGTATCTGGTGAGTACCAATCAATGAGGCATGCAGATGCTAGGCTGCAGTAGCTATAGATCTGTTGATGTTAACATTCAGCGAGCACTTACTGCGCATTAGGCACTTTCACCAGTTAATTCCATTCTTTCAAAGGGTAGTGTTATCCAAATCTTATTGTTTAGGAAACTAAGACTGAGCTAGTTAAGAGACTGTCTAAGGTGGTGAGATGGAAAATAATACAGCCAACACTCCCGTGGCATCAAAGCCTGATGGCAGAGAAGGCAGAAAAGTCTAGATTTCTTTGTCTGCCTTTGTTCTCTCTTTTTTTTTATTGTCTCTGTTGCATAATTTATTTTCTTACTCGATTTTTCTTATTCAATTTTTTAAACTCTTTTACTTTATTATTTTTTTTTCCTTGAATTTTTTTATTGGTACATTTTACATATACATAGTGATAGCATTCATCATAGGGGAATTGTACCTTGCTTCAAACAATAGTTTCAAGCATTTTTTTTTAAGTTTTAAAATTTCTGAATTTAGTTCAACTTATAATACCACATTTCCAAGAAAAATGAAACTTTTGCAAAGACCTTTAAATGAAATCATACCAAGATGCACAAAAATGAAATTGTCCAAATGCCTTTGCTCTCTGATTGATTGATTGATTGGCGACAGGATCTTCCTTTGCAGCTCAGACTCATAGTGATCCTCCTGTCTCAGCCTCCCCAGCATTGGGATTACAGACATACACTACCATGCCGTTTCAGGGCCAGCACGACTTGCTCAGGGGTTCGGGGAATGGCACAGCATAGGGTATTGGGGATCGAACTCAGAACCTCATTCTTGCCAGGCAGGTGCTTATGCTGCCGAGCTATCTCCCCAGCCCTGCCTTTGCTCTCTTTAATGGCTACATGTGTGTTTCATTGGCAGGTAATGCATGCCACATTCAGGCCGTTTTTTCCTTCCTGAGTTTTGTGTGCTTGTGTATGCGTGGGTCCAACCCAGGGGCTTGTCTATGCTAGCTAGCTACAGGTCTACCACTGTACTAACTCAGTAATCTACAACCTACATTAGTAGGCAAAATTTTTGAAATAGACAAAGTAATGCAGGCTTGCCTCCATGCATAGAAATCTACTACTTTAATTGCTTGCCCACGAAGCTATAATAAAATAAGAGGAAATTGGTCAGAAAATAAGATGGATTGGGGCCGGGGAGATGGCTAGTGGAATAAGCACTTGGCTGGCAAGTGCAGTGGCCTAAATTCAATCCCCGGTTCCGCAAAAAAAAGAAAAAAAAAAAAAAAAGAAAGAAAGAAAATAAGATGCCCAAGGATCAGTGGAACAGATAAAAATATGCAGACACTACTCCCAGCATACTCAGCCACCTTATCTTTGACAAAGGGGCCAAGCATCTTTACTGGAAGAAAGATAGCCTCTTTATTTATTTAGTTAGTTATAATTTTGAAAGAGCTATGTACTTACTTTTCCCAAAATATTATTCTAAATAAGTGTCTTATAGACAGTGTTAATATGAATTAGAAATATGCTGAGTAATTAAACCAATTTTTACAGACACTGGGAATAATTCTAACAGAAGATGTTCACATTTATGTGAGCATAGCTTCTTTAATAAATGGTGCTACAAAACTTGGCTTTCCATATGCCAAAGACTAAAACTAGACTCATGTCTATCACCATACACTAAACTAAAATCAAAATGGATCAAAGATCTACATATTAAAACAGAAACACTAAATCTTCTGGAAGAGAAATTAGGTAGAAATCTTGAAGACATAGGTATAGGCAGAAACTTAATGAAGAAAACCTAGACTGTATGGGAAGTATTTCAAAGAATCAATGACTGTGATCTCTTCTTATTAAAAAGCTTTTGCATAGCAAAAGAAATAACCGAGTGAAAAGAGAACCTATAGAGTGAGAAAATATTTTAGCCAGTTGCCCTCAGACAAAGGAATTATATCTAAAGCATAATAAAGAATTGAAAAACAAATTAAGCCCCTCAAATTCAAAGACCCACTCCAAATGAACATCTAAGATGAATAAGTGCTTCTTAGATGAAGTAATGCAAATGGCAAATAAATATGTGAAAAAATGTTCAATGCCATTGGTCATTCAAGAGATGCAAATTAAAACAACACTGAGATTTCATCTCATTCCAGAAAGAAATGAGATAAAATCATCAAAAAATCAATTGGTAACAAATTCTGGAGGGGCTGTGGTGTCAAAAGAGCCCTTCTCCACTGTTGATATCAATGAAGACTGGTGCAACCATGGGGAAATCAGTGTGGAGATTCCTCAAAAAAAAAACTAGGATTGGAGGTCCTATTCCAACCAAATATTTCCCTTCTTCATATCTTCCTGGAAGAATTAAAAACAGCATACCACATGTGCACCCATGTTTATAGCAGCACAATTTGTAATAGCTAAATCTCAGAAATACCTCAAATGACCATCAACTGAAGAATGAATAAAAAGATGTCTCTTTACACAGTGGAATACTCCTCAGCTATAAAGAAGGGTACATTCAAGACTTTTATAGATAAATGGCTGAAACTACACACCATACTCTTAAGTGAAAAAAATCAGACTCATGTGTTTAAACATCATGCTGTCTCCTTCGGGTGAGAAGCTGGAAGAGTAAATAAAGTCCAAAATGCACAATGCATATTGTGAAATGAAAGCAATTTTTCATAAGGAAAGAGGAACTAAAATGAGGGAAAGAGGATTAGAAAGAAGGGAAAAGAAAAAAATACACTATAGTAATGCTATTAGTTTTTTTTTATTTCACTGAAAGAAAGTTTGTACTGTTATTTGGAGAAATTTTATGCCCATAACTTGTACTTTGTAACTGCCTTATAGATAACTATAGTCAATGTATTAATTATTGTTATTCTTCTATTATGTTGTTAATGAAATTTTGTTTGACTTTTTTCCAAAGAAAAGAAACAGTATATAAAAATTTTAGTTGTTACATCTTGTCAGCAGTTGATAATATTAATGTTTGACTCTACCCAGCCCAAGTTATATTCTGTTCTG